TACCATAACCCTAACCCTGAAACCTGGGGTTTCCGTTAGCGTTACGCTTCCGTGACGTATTTCCCGTGACGCTGACCCCTATATCCAACGCTATATTCAACGGGCGTGCCCTAACCGGTATATACGATCCTCTCCATCATATTCTGTTAACCATAACCCTAACCCTGAAAACCTGGGGTTTCCGTTTCCGTTTCCGCTTCCGTGACGTATTTCCCGTGACGCTGACCCCTATATCCAACGCTATATTCAACGGGCGTGCCCCAACCGGTATATACGATCCTCTCCATCATATTCTGTTTAACCATAACCCTAACCCTGAAAACCTGGGGTTTCCGTTTCCGTTTCCGCTTCCGTGACGTATTTCCCGTGACGCTGACCCCTATATCCAACGCTATATTCAACGGGCGTGCCCCAACCGGTATATACGATCCTCTCCATCATATTCTGTTTAACCATAACCCTAACCCTGAAAACCTGGGGTTTCCGTTTCCGTTTCCGCTTCCGTTTCCGCTTCCGTGACCGTTTCCGTGACGTATTTCCCGTGACGCTGACCCCTATATCCAACGCGATATTCAACGGGCGTGCCCTAACCGGTATATACGATCCTCTCCATCATATTCTGTTAAACCATAACCCTAAAACCCTGGGGATTCCGTTTCCGTTTCCGCTTCCGTTTCCGCTTCCACTTCCGTTTCCGTGACGTATTTCCCGTGACGCTGACCCCTATATCCAACGCTATATTCAACGGGCGTGCCCCAACCGGTATATACGATCCTCTCCATCATATTCTGTTAAACCATAACCCTAACCCTGAAAACCTGGGGTTTCCGTCTCCGCCTCCGCTTCCGCGACGTATTTCCCGGACGCAAACCCCGATATCCAACGCGATATTCAACGGGCGTGCCCCAACCGGTACACACGATCCCCTCCATCATATTCTGTTTAACCCCAACCCTAAAACCCTGGGGATTCCGTTTCCGTTTCCGCTTCCGTTTCCGCTTCCACTTCCGTTTCCGTGACGTATTTCCCGGACGCTGACCCCTATATCCAACGCGATATTCAACGGGCGTTTTTGAACCTGATCTAGCTATATTATATCTCTTTACCCTCTTTCTTTTTGCTCCTTTTCCTCTTGCTTCATCGATCTTTATATATGCATATATCTTTTATCTCTATGTGGTGCTCGTCAACATCTGCCTCTCACCTGTGATGTCATTTGACCTCTATGCCCCTGACTCGATCTTCCCGCCCCTCTACCTTCTGATATAATCGTCCAGCGTGTTCGACTTCCAACGGGTTGATGGGTTCATCCAACGGATTCGACGTCCAACGGGTTAATGCGCTCCTGGGACGGGTTTGACGTCCAACGGGTTGGGTCCAGCGTGTTCGACTTCCTCATCCAACGGGTTCGACGTCCAACGGGTTGATGGGTTCATCCAACGAGTTCGGGTCCAATGGGTTAATGCGCTCCTTGGACGGGTTCGACATCCAACGGGTTTGGGTCCAGCGTGTTCAACTCCCAACGGGTTAATGCGCTCCTGGGACGGGTTTGACGTCCAACGGGTTTGACGTCCCACGGGTTGGGTCCATCGTGTTCAACTCCCAACGGGTTAATGCGCTCCTGGGACGGGTTCGACGTCCAACGGGTTAATGCGCTCCTGGGACGGGTTCGACGTCCAACGGGTTAATGCGCTCCTGGGACGGGTTTGACGTCCAACGGGTTGGCTCCAGCGTGTTCGACTTCCTCATCCAACGGGTTCGACGTCCAACGGGTTTGGGTCCAACGGGTTTGACTTTCAATGGGTTAACGGGTTTGCGTCTAATTTAACCGCCTATCCTGACCTCACTGCCCACCCCTGTCTCTAGCCTCACTCTTTTTCAACCCTAACCCTGACTCTGACCACCTCATCCTCCCCCCCAGCCTCTACCCTCACTCTTTGTAACCCTGACCCTGACCCATTATCATATGGGATGATACTGTTTGAAACTGATCCTTTGAACCTGATCTACTTTCTCTTGATGTTATATCCCTTTACCCTCTGTCTCTTGCTTCACCTGCCTTTATATATATATACATCTTTCATCCTCCTGTGGTGCCTCTCACCCGTGATGTGCCCCTCACCCATGATATCACTTGACCTCTGTACCCTCTGACTCGATCTTCCCCCTCTCTGCCTCCTGATATATCCCTCGCAGCCAACAAACCATCTCCACCAGCCGGTTGTGCTCCATGCCCTGCCCCTCAACCTTCTGTCTCAAAAATTCAATCACCGCCTCCTGATCATCTGCATCCACATTGAACTCTCTCAGCCGCTGTCTCCACGCCTGCTTCATCTGCCCTGCATGACACCCATACATCATCATTGCCACCGTCGGGATCAAAAATCCCCTGTACGGACACTGTCTCTGTGTCTTCCAGCTGTTGCATATGGACTGCGGCATCCCGCATCGGAAGCACCCGGAATACCGTGTGTATTTGATCTTGCTCCGCACTGTCATCATCCATCTCTTTGCCTCCTGGCTCTCCTCGTGGGGACACTGGTACAGCTCATGGTCAAACTCCCGCTTGCCACTTGCACATATCAAACACTGATCCTTCCACCTCTGCGCCTCTTCCACTAAAACCTCCTCATCCATCAATGCCCTCTGCCCTCGCTGCTGGTGTGTGATGATGAACCGGCCTCGACGGACATCCTGCTTGTGGAATGTCTGTCTGGTTGTTGATGGGATGCCCCTGGTGTCTTCACTGATTTCACTTGACTCTTGCTTGTTCCATTGACCCGGGCTGCTCCCGCCTGAAGTTGAAGCTTCATTCTTGGTGATGCTTTCATTTATGTTGTCGTCTGTGCTCTTGCTCACACTTCTGGCCATTCTGGGACTGCATGTGCCGTTGAATCTGATGTGGGTTTCACCCTGCTGGCTCTCCATCTCTGACTCCTGGCTGGTTTCATCCTCGCTGGAGTCATCCTTGGCTGTTGCTCTTGAACTGTAGCCTGGACTGGGTGTGGGCGTGGGCGTGCCACCTGGGCTGGGGGTGAACACGGCCTCCCTGGCCTCCCACTCGGCATCGCACCCGTCACACTGGGACTCCCCTGTGTGTCGATCACCGCAGTGCCGTCTCATGTACCCCTCCACTTCCCCGTCCAGGTACCGGTCCAGCACCACCCGTCGACATCGAGCCATCGGTTCATCACCCCCCTCACCCCCTGCCTGCATGTACCGCTCAACCAGCTTCTGGTCCAGCAGTGATGGTGCATCCTTTCTTGACCATATCATTGCTGCACTGATACCCTCGGGCTCAATGATGATGGCTTCACTGGTCTGTCCATCACACCCTGCACGCCCGCTCTCCTGTCCATAATCCAGCAATGATCGCGGCCGTCCGACGTGGATGATGCTGCGGATGTTGGGGATGTCGATTCCCATGCCCAGTGCACTTGTCGCCACGATGACCTGGTGTTGACCTTGCTGGAAACACTCCAGTATGCCGGCCTTGTTGATCTGGTGGTGGTGATATGCCCCGCATCTCAATGTGCTTGCCATCATCGTGACCTGATTCACTGCCTGGCAGTACACCACCCCCTTACCTTCTCCCGTCCATCTCATGCGGTCCTGGATGAACCTGACCACGCTGGGTGCTTGAAACCATCGGTTGAGCCCATCGTACTCTGACCCTTCAATGATGGGTTGCCACACTCGGTATGCCACATTTGGGACGGCATGTCCGCGCCCCGGAACAATGATATGTCCCGCTCGGGGTGCAGTGCATGTGGGACCACAGCTTCTCCTCCTCATCTGGTGGCAATGTGGCCGTCAGCAGCACCATTTTGTGTCTTGACCGCCATCAGCTTGCCTAGCTGTTGCATCTGGGGCCGGAAGTTGACTTGGTCGTTGAGCACCGTGTGGCATAACCGTGCCACCTTGATGATCCATGACAATATTGGTGGGTAGCTCTCCGCGTCGCGCCATCCATACTCCCCCCGTCCCAGCACCGCCAACGCGTCTACCAGCGCGCACTCATAATCCTCCACCTGAACCCGCTGGTTCAGCAGCTCAATGCAAAAATCCAAACATGCCATCTGCATCTTGGTTAATTTGAACTTATCTTCTTCTTCTGGCTGGGTATCTCTCTGTCCCTTCTCCTCCTCCTCTTCTTCTTCCTCAGTCATCTGCTCATCCATGGGGTCTGGGCTGATGGGGTGTCGCTGGTCGGCTCCCTCTGTGGTGGCTACCTGCCATAATACCCTCCATGTCTTGCGCTGCCGTGGTGTGAACCGGTACTGTGGGCTCGTCCATTCATGCTCGACCTGCGTTCGGGCGAAAAACATCAACATCTGCTGCCATGGCCTCACGTGCTCGGCGATGCTCTCCTCGTCCCATGTACGCCTGCAACGGGGTGTGCCGGGTCTGGTGTCGCTCTGTGCGGATGGCCTCGATGCGGACGAAGTGGCCCAGCCGTGTGATGACTCGCTGGCTGGTACGGGCAACCTGACCCATGGCCTCCCAGATGGCCCTCGCGGCCAGTTCATCTGGACACGTGGTGTCATCCTCGGGCCGCTGGACGCAGTTGACCAGATCATTGGGTGCGATGTTGGTCAAGTACACCGGCCATCTGGTCCGCCGCAGCCATGGATTGGCTTCATCGTGCTCCCCGGCATGCATGACATTGCTGGTCTGCCGTTGCTGTTCCCGGTAAAACCGCTCCAGCTCATCAATGACCTGGCTGGCTCTGTTCTGGTCTGGCGTGCCGGTGTGCTCAGTAGTCTCCTTAGTCTGGATCTGTATGTAGTAGGAGCCCTTGCGCGATGCAAATACCTGCTGGAACTGCACCTTCTGGCATGATCTGTCCACCTCATCCTGTGCTGCCGTACGCTTTTGTGGCGCTGTACGGCCACGGCTGGGATATGGCGACCAGCTGTGCTTGTTCTGCCAGTGCTTGCGTATGGTGTTCATGTTCCCTGCCAAATACTGGCACTGGGGATCCTGCTGGCACCTGTAGCCATCTTGAATGGGTAGTTCCGGGATTGGTTCATTCAGTATTGTGGGCAGTGTTAACTGTGTAGTATGTGGGCAGTGTTAACTGTGTAGTATCTCGAGCCACATTGTCCCACTGTTCAATGTTCTCCTTTATCTGCTGAACCACCGCATGCTTTAGCTGATGGGCCTTGCCTTTCAGATGCCGTTCAATCTCTGTTGGCCACACAGCGTGCTTGCACCGGCGGCATATGATAATGAGGTATGATTCACAGTGGATAAATAATTGATGTTCCATGTCGATGCTGGGTCTGTCTTGTGCATTGAATATATATATATTTCCTTCATTCAGTGTCTTTGTGTGAAACTTGACAGATCTGATCTGGTGTGAATGTTTGTTTTTCTGTGGTTAAAATCACTCCAGGATGAAGCCTTTCAGTTTTCTTATATGTTTTGCTATTTTTATTTACTTTGTTGATCTTGCACCGCTTTGCGCCGCTCCGTTGCCTGGGGTGAAAATATATATATATAGTTGGGTCTGGTTGGGTTGGTGGCTTACCCCATCAAACATCGCACCTCAACTCATTGACTTTGACACCCACAATGTAACCCCTTCCCGGCGGAATTATCGCTTTTGATTTGGATATGTTGTATTTCATATCCACTACGGCCTACATGCAAAGTTTGAAGTAATGGGGTGGCTGGCTGCCGCGGAAGGGAAGGGAAGAGGGAGCTCGACCGCGACCGGGCCACTGCGGGCACGCGGAGGCGGGAGCGGGAGCACGCACGGGCGGCCAATCAGGGACGGAGAAGATCGGACGGGGGCGCGTCGGACCACGCACTATGTATAACTTGGATAGTTTAACCCTAACCCTATAACCTTCAACGGGCATGTCCAGCGGGTTTGACTTTTAAATGGTTTCATCCCACTGGTTTGGGTCCAACGGGTTAACGGGTTCGTTCAACGGGTTCGACCCCTGAACACCCCTCACTCTAACCCTGACTCTGACCACCTCATCCTCCCCCCCAGCCTCTACCCTCACTCTTTGTAACCCTAACCCTGGCCCATTATTGTATGGGATAATGCTCTTTAAAACTCCCATATTTTTGAAACCCCCCCTCTACCTTCTGATATAATCGTCCAGCGTGCTCGACTTCCAACGGGTTGATGGGTTCATCCAACGGGTTCGGGTCCAATGGGTGAATGGGCTCCTTGGACGGGTTTGACATCCAACGGGTTTGGGTCCAGCGTGTTCGACTAATGTTTGTTTTTCTGTGTTTAAAATCACTCCAGAATGAAGCCTTTCGGTTTTTTTATATATTTTGCTATTTTAATTTACTTTGTTGATCTTGCACCGCTTTGCACCGCTCCGTTGCCTGGGTGAAAATATAGATATTTAGTTGGGTCTGGTTGGGTTGATGGCTTACCCCATCAAACATCGCACCTCAACTCATTGACTTTGACACCACAATGTAACCCCTTCCCGGCGGAATTATCGCTTTTGATTTGGATATGTTGTATTTCATATCCACTACGGCCTACATGCAAAGTTTGAAGTCAATTGACTCCGTGGTTGATTAGACGTTCAACGTCTGAAACCAAATGGAATGTACGTCCAATCTGCCCTGCTCTGATTGGTCGGTTTTCTAACCCTGAATGGAATGGACGTCCATTCCACCCCCACCTGTTGGATAGACGTTCAACGTCTGAAACCAAATGGAATGTACGCCCAATCTGCCCTGCTCTGATTGGTCGGTTTTCTAAGGTTTTCTAACCCTAAATGGAATGGACGTCCATTCCACCCCCACCTGTTGGATAGATATTTAGTTGGGTCTGGTTGGGTTGATGGCTTACCCCATCAAACATCGCACCTCAACTCATTGACTTTGACACCACAATGTAACCCCTTCCCGGCGGAATTATCGCTTTTGATTTGGATATGTTGTATTTCATATCCACTACGGCCTACATGCAAAGTTTGAAGTCAATTGACTCCGTGGTTGATTAGACGTTCAACGTCTGAAACCAAATGGAATGTACGTCCAATCTGCCCTGCTCTGATTGGTCGGTTTTCTAACCCTGAATGGAATGGACGTCCATTCCACCCCCACCTGTTGGATAGAATGTCGGATGCATTGGCGTCCAGTCGCAGCGCCTTGTGCACCACCATGAACCGTGCCACCTTGATGATCCGTGACAACATTGGTGAGTAGCTCTCCGCGTCGCACCATCCATACTCCCCCCGTCCCAGCACCGCCAACGCGTCTACCAGCGCGCACTCATAATCCTCCACCTGAACCCGCTGGTTCAGCAGCTCAATGCAAAAATCCAAACATGCCATCTGCATCTTGGTTAATTTGAACTTATCTTCTTCTTCTGGCTGAGTATCTCTCTGTCCCTTCTCCTCCTCCTCTTCTTCTTCCTCAGTCATCTGCTCATCCATGGGGTCTGGGCTGATGGGGTGTCGCTGGTCGGCTCCCTCTGTGGTGGCTACCTGCCATAATACCCTCCATGTCTTGCGCTGCCGTGGTGTGAACCGGTACTGTGGGCTCGTCCATTCATGCTCGACCTGCGTTCGGGCGAAAAACATCAACATCTGCTGCCATGGCCTCACGTGCTCGGCGATGCTCTCCTCGTCCATGTACGCCTGCAACGGGGTGTGCCGGGTCTGGTGTCGCTCTGTGCGGATGGCCTCGATGCGGACGAAGTGGCCCAGCCGTGTGATGACTCGCTGGCTGGTACGGGCAACCTGACCCATGGCCTCCCAGATAGCCCTCGCGGCCAGTTCATCTGGGCACGTGGTGTCATCCTCGGGCCGCTGGACGCAGTTGACCAGATCATTGGGTGCGATGTTGGTCAAGTACACCGGCCATCTGGTCCGCCGCAGCCATGGGTTGGCTTCATCGTGCTCCCCGGCCTGGATGACATTGCTGGTCTGCCGTTGCTGTTCCTGGTAAAACCGCTCCAGCTCATCAATGGCCTGGCTGGCTCTGTTCTGGTCTGGCGTGCCGGTATGCTCAGTAGTCTCCTTAGTCTGGATCTGTATGTAGTGGGAGCCCTTGCGCGATGCAAATATCTGCTGGAACTGCACCTTCTGGCATGATCTGTCCACCTCATCCTGTGCTGCCGTACGCTTTTGTGGCGCTGTACGGCCACGGCTGGGATATGGCGACCAGCTGTGCTTGTTCTGCCAGTGCTTGCGCATGGTGTTCATGTTCCCTGCCACATACTGGCACTGGGGATCCCGCTGGCACCTGTAGCCATCTTGAATGGGTAGTTCCGGGATTGGTTCATTCAGTATTGTGGGCAGTGTTAACTGTGTAGTATCTCGAGCCACATTGTCCCACTGTTCAATGTTCTCCTTTATCTGCTGAACCACCGCATGCTTTAGCTGATGGGCCTTGCCTTTCAGATGCCGTTCAATCTCTGTTGGCCACACAGCGTGCTTGCACCGGCGGCATATGATAATGAGGTATGATTCACAGTGGATAAATAATTGATGTTCCATGTCGATGCTGGGTCTGTCTTGTGCATTGAATATATATATATTTCCTTCATTCAGTGTCTTTGTGTGAAACTTGACAGATCTGATCTGGTGTGAATGTTTGTTTTTCTCTGTTTAAAATCACTCCAGAATGAAGCCTTTCGGTTTTTTTATATATTTTGCTATTTTTATTTACTTTGTTGATCTAGTAACCCTAACCGCTCCGTTGCCTGGGTGAAAATATAGATATTTAGTTGGGTCTGGTTGGGTTGATGGCTTACCCCATCAAACATCGCACCTCAACTCATTGACTTTGACACCACAATGTAACCCCTTCCCGGCGGAATTATCGCTTTTGATTTGGATATGTTGTATTTCATATCCACTACGGCCTACATGCAAAGTTTGAAGTCAATTGACTCCGTGGTTGATTTGACGTTCAACGTCTGAAACCAAATGGAATGTACGTCCAATCTGCCCTGCTCTGATTGGTCGGTTTTCTAACCCTGAATGGAATGGACGTCCATTCCACCCCCACCTGTTGGATAGACATGGAGTCCAGCTGTGTTGGGTCTGTCAGTGCTTGTACATGGTCCGTATAGTTCCTCCAACATACTGACATTCAGATTGCCGCCAACACATGTAGCCATTGTGGATGAGCGGCTCATGTATTGGTTTGTTCAATTCTGTGGATAATATCAACCGGCCGAGATCATGCGCGATATGATCCCACTGTTGAATTATCTGCTTGATACTCTGTGTGGCTGTATACTCTAACTGATGAGTTGAACCCTTCAAATGCCGTTCAATTTCTGTTGGCCATACTGCATACTTGCATTGACGGCATATGATGATGGGGTATGATTCACACTGAATGAATAATTGATGTTCCATGTTAATGAAGTCAGTGTATTCTTGAGTTGATATATATATATATATATATATATATTCTTTGAAAATGAAGTATAAACACACTTCACTCGACAATGTTAATTTGCTCTAAATTTAAGTTTTGTAATGCTTCTAAGCAATTGCAGATCAATACTTAAATGTATGATGTTAATTTCTGTCTGATTGTTATTTCGCTGATCTGTGACCGTTTTGATGATGGTAGTTGCCCTGGGGCGAAATATATATATTTAATATTGATAACTCTGCAAAACAACTTATCTACCTTAATGTTGTAATAATATGATTTTCTGATGAAATTATGTCTTGAAATTAAATATCATACTCTGTATATATAATATAACTGGCTCCTGAAGTTTAAGGTCTGGTTGTGATGAGTTGTCTATGAAAATATAATATTATACATTTTATAACGGAGGTGAAAGGCTGATTTGTATTGAAATTTATAAAGATGACAGCTAGCTGCTGAAGTTGGAAATCTGGTCATAATGAATTGCATGAGAAAAATATATATCTTTAATCATTTATAGCTCTATGTTATCATCTATTTCTACTGTTACATATGATGGCTGCTGTTTTTGAGCTTTTCTGCTAACGCTCTTTTCCATGTTCCGTGCCCGCTTTCGCACCCCTGGGTTAAACCCCAGGAATTCATGCCACTCCCGGCTGACAGCCTGGTACCACACACGCCGTTCCTCAATGTGGCCTGGTGCCTCCTGCAGCCCAGGATCCATGGCCTGCCTGCTGGTCTACTGCCGCATCATCTGCCTCATATTCCCGCTTGAACCCTCCACAGGACAGGTGCATACGCGAGATGGCAATGGCGGCATGCCGCCAAGGGATTACATTGAGCTTGGTCTGGAGGTGTGTCTTTGCCTCGCGCTGAAGCACCACCCGCAGCCGGCTGCTGTCCCACGGTCCATGCCCCCGCGGCCAGAGAAATGGTGACCGCAGCCCCCCTGGCTATCATTGTCTCCATATGCAAGCCGCTGGACCGCCCGCGCGAAAGGTAGAATCAGCCAGAGGTAGTACACCACCAGCTCGGACTGGAGCACTCTCCGGAGGCGGTGGGCAACAGGGTTTCTGAGTGCGGTCAAACACCGGCTCCAGCTGGTCCTGCATCATCGCAGCCACTGCGGCCTCCCGGAGACCTGCCGTCGCGGCCGAGGGATGGTTGCGGTGCCGCTTAGCCAGGTGGGTGAGGACATTTGCAACAGCAACAGCAAATCCACATGGGCGGCAGATCCACAGGCGGTGGGACCTATTATAAATAAAGAGATCCATTCTCACAGTAAATCTCTCATCAAAGTTGGCTGTCTGTCAATATTTGAAAGAGTATATTTAAAAGAGGTCAGTCAGAGATCAGAAGAAAGAGCAAAACATAAGAGAGAGAAAGAAAAAAAAAAAGAGAGAGAGAGAGAGTGAGCAGCCAGCAATCATGCATGAATGCGTCAATATATAAATGCATTAATGTGGAGACGCGTGGATGTGCGAGCAGGCCAGGCCAATAAGGCCAATAAAAACTGACAAGATAAGAAGAGATGAGATATGAGAAGGGAAGAGGGAGCTCGACTGTGACCGGGCCCCACTGCGGGCACGCGGAGGCGGGAGCGGGAGCACGCACGGGCGGCCAATCAGGGACGGAGAAAATCGGACGGGGGCGCGTCGGACCACGCACTATGTATAACTTGGATAGTTTAACCCTAACCCTATAACCTTCAACGGGCATGTCCAGCGGGTTTGACTTTTAAATGGTGTCATCCCACTGGTTTGGGTCCAACGGGTTAACGGGTTCGTTCAACGGGTTCGACCCCTGAACACCCCTCACTCTAACCCTGACTCTGACCACCTCATCCTCCCCCCCAGCCTCTACCCTCACTCTTTGTAACCCTAACCCTGGCCCATTATTGTATGGGATAATGCTCTTTAAAACTCCAATATTTTTGAACCCCCCCCTCTACCTTCTGATATAATCGTCCAGCGTGCTCGACTTCCAACAGGTTGATGGGTTCATCCAACGGGTTCGGGTCCAATGGGTGAATGGGCTCCTTGGACGGGTTTGACGTCCAACGGGTTTGGGTCCAGCGTGTTCGACTAATGTTTGTTTTTCTCTGTTTAAAATCACTCCAGAATGAAGCCTTTCAGTTTTTTTATATATTTTGCTATTTTTATTTACTTTGTTGATCTAGTAACCCTAACCGCTCCGTTGCCTGGGTGAAAATATAGATATTTAGTTGGGTCTGGTTGGGTTGATGGCTTACCCCATCAAACATCGCACCTCAACTCATTGACTTTGACACCACAATGTAACCCCTTCCCGGCGGAATTATCGCTTTTGATTTGGATATGTTGTATTTCATATCCACTACGGCCTACATGCAAAGTTTGAAGTCAATTGACTCCGTGGTTGATTAGACGTTCAACGTCTGAAACCAAATGGAATGTACGCCCAATCTGCCCTGCTCTGATTGGTCGGTTTTCTAACCCTGAATGGAATGGACGTCCATTCCACCCCCACCTGTTGGATAGATCCGAAACATGAAGGTGCGCTATGAAAAGTATGTATGATACGAATATATTGCTGCCAGCGAGGCTGCGTGCGAATTGGTCTGGCTCAATGACATGCTGTATGACGCCGGATTACTGGAAGGAAAGGGAAAGATCTGCTCAAATCTGCAGGTTGACAATAAAGGTGCCATCGATCCTGCGAAGGGGGAGTCCCTACCCAGACGATCAAGGCATATAGAGATCCGCTACCATATCCTTCGAGAACTTGTTGAAAAGGATGAGATAGAGCTCCTCCACGTTGGTTCTACTGCCAATAAAGCGGACGGATTTACGAAGCCTTTGGCGAAGCCCGCATTCGTTGATTGCGTTGAGAAGTTAGGATTGGCGGAGACTAATTGATTTTTTTTTTGCGGCCCAGGATGGGCGTAAGGGGAATACGGGGATGGATGGTCATTTGCGTGTTTCTTTTGATTTTTTACGGTTATGACCCGTAAGGGCACCTTCCCTAATCGGGTAATCAGGGTCCGAATCGTGTAATTAATTATTATTGCGGATTTGGATGATTTGGCCGGGCAGGCGTGGATCGGGTGTTTTGAACTCGGCGGCGCCGTAGCATGGGGGGGTGTAGGTGGATACTACGGCTACCCTAGATCACGTGCTCCCCAATCTTATTTAGTTGTTGCTCGGCTAGTTAGTTTTAATACAAAACAACGTTCATTCTATGACCCAACCACGCAGTGTATATAACCTCGCTGGACCCCATATCTTCACAGGGCCAGTGAATAGTCTTATATCAATCACTCCTATGTTCAACAGCTTCATATATATATATCGTTATGCCCTCACATCGTTCCATCACCTCTGTCATGCCACGGCCCATGCGCCGGCATGCCCCGGGGATTTAACTATATATATAGGTGTGGGCGCCTATGATGCCGGTCGGTATCATAGTGTTTGGTCTTTTTGGCCGAGGTGGTTAGGGGGATATATAGAGGATATATACTAAGGCCGCCAGATATATCCAACATATCCAAAGGGGGCAAGGTTTCCAACACGGCATAATCCACGATCGGGATAAATATATATATATAGAGCACCGTTGGGGATCTCCTGCGATAGAGGTAGATAGAATTTAGAATTAATCTTGCTTATAACTGCTTCCAAAGCTACTTGACCAATAGCCATCTTATTAATTAAGCTTAAGGTACTGTAGCCTTTGGAGAAGTTAAAAGAGATAAGGAGATAAAAGATGTTAGAAACCTAGCTACCCTAATAATAACCCTAGAAAGAACCCTAATAACCCTAGAAATAACCCTAATAACCCTAGCAATAACCCTAGCAATAACCCTAGAGAATTGCATCCTTGATTGACAACGTAATTTCTATTCCACTGACCTGCAACTTAAATAGCATTGAATATGTTTGGTAGAGAGCCAGCATGCATGATTTCATCCACATCTAACCACTCCTTGCGCTGACCGGGACTTTGGGACGATAATACTGTAACGGGTTAGCGCTGCTGTAGAAAATATACGCTAACCTAATACGGTATTATCGTCCCATAGAACCCTCCATTGTTTAAACCACAATATCTCCACCACTACATGGGCTATGGGAATATGGAATATATCAGTTTAATGCCCAGAGGCTGCTCTATCATCTCATGCTAAAATATGTAGATGTTTCTGTATCTGTGGTGTTGGTCTTAGCCTGTCAATGTGGTACTAGATTGCATCCTTGATTGACAACGTAATTTCTATTCCACTGACCTGCAACTTAAATAGCATTGAATATGTTTGGTAGAGAGCCAGCATGCATGATTTCATCCACATCTAACCACTCCTTGCGCTGACCGGGACTTTGGGACGATAATACTGTAACGGGTTAGCGCTGCTGTAGAAAATATACGCTAACCTAATACGGTATTATCGTCCCATAGAACCCTCCATTGTTTAAACCACAATATCTCCACCACTACATGGGCTATGGGAATATGGAATATATCAGTTTAATGCCCAGAGGCTGCTCTATCATCTCATGCTAAAATATGTAGATGTTTCTGTATCTGTGGTGTTGGTCTTAGCCTGTCAATGTGGTACTAGACAACGGGTTTGGGTCCAGCGTGTTCAACTCCCAACGGGTTAATGCGCTCCTGGGACGGGTTTGACGTCCAACGGGTTGGGTCCAGCGTGTTCGACTTCCTCGTCCAACGGGTTCGACGTCCAACGGGTTTGACTTTCAATGGGTTAACGGGTTTGCGTCTAATTTAACCGCCTATCCTGACCTCACTGCCCACCCCTGTCTCTAGCCTCACTCTTTGTCAACCCTAACCCTGACTCTGACCACCTCATCCTCCCCCCCAGCCTCTACCCTCACTCATTGTAACCCTGACCCTGACCCATTATCATATGGGATGATACTGTTTGAAACTGATCACCCTAACTGATCTACTTTCTCTCGATGTTATATCCCTTTACCCTCTGTCTCTGGCTTCACCTGCCTTTATATATATATACGTCTTTCATCCCCCTGTGGTGCCTCTCACCCGTGATATCACTTGACCCCTGTACCCTCTGACTCGATCTTCCCCCTCTCTGCCTCCTGATATATCCCTCGCAGCCAACAAAACATCTCCATCAGCTGGTTGTGCTCGATGCCCTGCCCCTCAACCTTCTGTCTCAAAAATTCAATCACCGCCTCCTGATCATCTGCATTCACATTGAACTCCCTCAGCTGCTGTGACACCCATACATCATCATTGCCACTGTCGGGATCAAAAATCCCCTGTACGGACACTGCCTCTGTGTCTTCCAGCTGTTGCATATGGACTGCGGCATCCCGCATCGGAAGCACCCGGAATACTGTGTGTATTTGATCTTGCTCCGCACTGTCATCATCCATCTCTTTGCCTCCTGGCTCTCCTCGTGGGGACACTGGTACAGCTCATGGTCAAACTCCCGCTTGCCACTTGCACATATCAAACACTGATCCTTCCACCTCTGCGCCTCTTCCACTAAAACCTCCTCATCCATCAATGCCCTCTGCCCTCGCTGCTGATGTGTGATGATGAACCAGCCTTGATGGACATTCTGTTTGTGGAATGTCTGTCTGATTGTTGATGGGATGCCCCTGGTGTCTTCACTGATTTCACTTGACTCTTGCTTGTTCCATTGACCCGGGCTGCTCCCGCCTGAAGTTGAAGCCTCATTCTTGGTGATGCTTTCATTTATGTTGTTGTCTGTGCTCTTGCTCACACTTCTGGCCATTCTGGGACTGCATGTGCTGTTGAATCTGATGTGGGTTTCACCCTGCTGGCTCTCCATCTCTGACTCCTGGTTGGACGGGTTTGACGTCCAACGGCTTAGGGTCCAGCGTGTTCGACTAATGTTTGTTTTTCTCTGTTTAAAATCACTCCAGAATGAAGCCTTTCAGTTTTTTTATATATTTTGCTATTTTTATTTACTTTGTTGATCTTGCACCGCTTTGCACCGCTCCGTTGCCTGGGTGAAAATATAGATATTTAGTTGGGTCTGGTTGGGTTGATGGCTTACCCCATCAAACATCGCACCTCAACTCATTGACTTTGACACCACAATGTAACCCCTTCCCGGCGGAATTATCGCTTTTGATTTGGATATGTTGTATTTCATATCCACTACGGCCTACATGCAAAGTTTGAAGTCAATTGACTGCGTGGTTGATTGGACGTTCAACGTCTGAAACCAAATGGAATGTACGTCCAATCTGCCCTGCTCTGATTGGTCGGTTTTCTAACCCTGAATGGAATGGACGTCCATTCCACCCCCACCTGTTGGATAGTGGATAAATAATTGATGTTCCATGTCGATGCTGGGTCTGTCTTGTGCATTGAATATATATATATTTCCTTCATTCAGTGTCTTTGTGTGAAACTTGACAGATCTGATCTGGTGTGAATGTTTGTTTTTCTGTGTTTAAAATCACTCCAGAATGAAGCCTTTCAGTTTTCTTATATGTTTTGCTATTTTTATTTACTTTGTTGATCCTGCACCGCTTTGCACCGCTCCGTTGCCTGGGTGAAAATATAGATATTTAGTTGGGTCTGGTTGGGTTGATGGCTTACCCCATCAAACATCGCACCTCAACTCATTGACTTTGACACCACAATGTAACCCCTTCCCGGCGGAATTATCGCTTTTGATTTGGATATGTTGTATTCCATATCCACTACGGCCTACATGCAAAGTTTGAAGTCAATTGACTCCGTGGTTGATTAGACGTTCAACGTCTGAAACCAAATGGAATGTACGCCCAATCTGCCCTGCTCTGATTGGTCGGATTTCTAAGGTTTTCTAACCCTAAATGGAATGGACGTCCATTCCACCCCCACCTGTTGGATAGTGTCTTTGTGTGAAACTTGACAGATCTGATCTGGTGTGAATGTTTGTTTTTCTGTGTTTAAAATCACTCCAGAATGAAGCCTTTCAGTTTTCTTATATGTTTTGCTATTTTTATTTACTTTGTTGATCTTGCACCGCTTTGCACCGCTCTGTTGCCTGGGTGAAAATATATATATATAGTTGGGTCTGGTTGGGTTGGTGGCTTACCCCATCAAACATCGCACCTCAACTCATTGACTTTGACACCACAATTTAACCCCTTCCCGGCGGAATTATCGCTTTTGATTTGGATATGTTGTATTCCATATCCACTACGGCCTACATGCAATGTTTGAAGTCAATTGACTCAGTGGTTGATTAGTTTAGTTGCCCTGATTCTTTTCTTGTTGTTTTATCATTTATAATTATTATAGATGATTAAATAGCAAATCATTATACTAAAAGCCTGATCCTTGCTTGCTTGCTACCGCCTGAAGCACAATACCCTGTAAACCACTTCAATAGAGGGGGCGATAGGAGAGGTTGATAGGGAGGGGGTTATAGGGGGCATATAGGGGGTTATAAGGGGGGTGATAGGAGGAGGGTGAAGGGATCATAAGAATTATATAGATGGAGATTAGTGTAGGTTGAATTATCATTCATGGCAGCATTAACCACTGGATGTGGTAGGTATTGCAGTTAAGGCCTGCTATATGCAGGCTCCATTGTAGATTGTTCTTCCCCAGGTGGTGTAGTATAATAAAGACTACTAGAAGTAAAAACTCTAATTGAAGTATTTGTTTCAACTGGGGCCAGTTGGAGCTATATAGAACATTAATGATGAGGAAGAAGAGAAGAAGGAAAAATACCAATCAATAAAGACAATATGAAATTTATTTGGGACCTAATAACATTCATCAGAGGAGTACTAAAATCAAATAAGATGCAGACTATTAAGAACAGGAAAACATTATCTCATAGGGTTATGAATATATATATATCTCCCTTTTACAACTGTTTTAATATCTCTATTTCTGTTTAATCTGAATTGACGATTTAACACTACCTTTATTTGCTGCTTGTTTCTCACCACATCACGTTGAATCTGTCATCCTACCTGCTCAGTGATCTTGTGGGTGGACTTTCTCAGCTGATACTCATACTTCTGTGCCCGATGCCGCGCCCGTTGAAACTGTTCCTGGAAGCTCTTCCATTCTTGTGCAGACCATCGACTGCTGGCACTGCTCTGAGACTGTTGCTGCAGTGATTTCATATGCTGCCAATGATGCATATATCGGGTGTTATATTCCCACACCTTCCGCTCTTGTTTCTTCAGAGCCTGGAGCTGCTTTACCTCCTGGATATACTGCTGGCTCAGTGACTCAGGATCGGAATCCGGCTCGGTGTTAGCTATCTTCTGTACTGGCTGTGGACCACTCTGCCACTGGCGGGACCGTTGGGCGAACTTCAGTGACTGGATGGCATCATGCTTGCTCTGGATGAGCCTCTGTAGATAGGACTGGAGGTGGGACTTCCACCATGCAGGATCATGCTGTGGAGTGCCTTGGTGCTCTCCCCGTCTGTGGGACCGTAGCTGGTAGCTTGGTGCAATGTCTGGTAGCGTGCTGTAGATCAGCTTCACACTCTGCCCAATCACTGGGAGCAGGATGTGTTCATCACGCATGGTGGGCTCCTCAGTAGGCTCCAGTGGCACATCAGTGAGGAAATCATCTATGGAGTCCGGCGTGCTTGGAAGCCTGATGTCGATCCCCTGCATGACAGAGGAGGAGCGCTCCCAGCCGCTCAGGGGGAGGTGAACGACCTCCCAGGGCTCAATGTGCAGTGGGGCTGGATCTGGAGATGGTTGCTGCTTCTTTTTCTTCTTCCGGACGTACTGCTGCACGCCGGGGTGCACGCTAGACCACCACTGAAGGCGCCGCTGCCCACCATGGGACCAGAAGCTGGTTGATGAGGGGTATGGGAGGAGCCAGTGGGTGCGGATGAAGATCGACCGCAGGTTGGCCCGCCAAGCCCGGGCCTGCTCGACCCCAAATGCCAGGGCCACCTCACCGAAGCACTGCTGGAACAGCAACCGGTAGGGCTTATCCACCCAGTGTTGCCGTGCTAGAATGCACCTGTTGCCATCCCCCTCCCACCCCCAGAGCCATGTGAACAGGACGGATATGCTGCGCACGCGCATGTTGTGACCTGCCACCGCGTGTATCATTCCCGGGTCGGTGAGCTCGGGGAACACCAACTGCAGCCCGGCCCAGGTTAGTGCGATCTCCCCGGCCAGGGCCTGCTGCCGCTGCTGGGGTTGCCAGCGCCATGAGACCCGCTGGCCCTGGTCTAGGTGGGTAAACACCTCCTTGCGGAATGCCCGCAGGCAGGTGTCAATGCACAGCTGGAGCAGGAGACGGGCCTGAGTGGTGGTGGTGGCTGGGTCGCGCATCCGCGCCAGCAGGTCCTGGACGAGGAGGAAGTCCCGTTTGGCTGAGTTCACCTGCCCATACCGGTGGTGGAACGCCTGCTGCAGGGTGGGCGTGTTGAAGGTCAGATGGGCCCGGTGTGCAGGCTTGAAGATCATTGCGGTCCAGTCCAGCTTATCGCACATCCAGGCGTACTGATACCGCCGGAGGTTGCTCTGGAACCCCATCCCCTCCTGGACTCGCTCGCCCTGCCCGTCACGCCGGGGTTGGACTACACGGTCGAGCCAGAGCCCGTTGCTGTGGCGTAGGTGACGCCCCTGCCCGCCATACATGTGCTGCAGGCACTGGAGGAACATCATCATCACACGTGTGTGCTCCCACTGCACGAGGTTCCGCTGCCGGAGGCTGTAGACCATCTCAAACCCCGTGCAGAGCCGGTTGATGTTCCACCGGAGCCAGTCCATGATGAGTGGTGTTGGCTGGTGGTGGAAGGGCCTCAGTGAGGATGCAGGCTGGGGGAGTGGCTCATCTACCCACCCCTGATCCTGCATGGCCGCGTGGATGGCCCGGTAGAGCTCGCCGCTAACCCGGTACTCCTCACGCACTGCGAAGGCCTTCTGTCGGGAGGCCTCCAGTGCCCGGTGGCAGCGCTGTTTGGTGTGAAGGTACGCCTGCAGCACCTGTAGTGGCTGATGGCTGACCCCGCGGCCAACGTGCTGCCACATGCGGACCAGGCCTGGGTCCAGAGCAAGGGTGTCCAGGTGTTCAGCCCCGAAGGCATAGTGATTCCCAGCCGCGAAGACCTCCTTGATTGTGTTGTAGAACTGGCAGTAGAGTAGCCCTGACTGTCGAAGTGCCGATCGGGGCCGCGTCTCCAGGGTCAGTGAGCCTGCTTCAGACAGGAAGGACATTGGGTAGAACTCCTGGTGGAAGGGGTTCTTGACCTTCTGGGGCTGAGGAGAGCTGCTGGTGGGGAGGTCCACCTGATCAGTGTGCTCATGGTATACATCACCCCCAGAATCCTCTTCAGTGTCCCCGTTGTCTCTCTGGCTCTCATGTCCAGTGCCGCTGGGGTCTGGTGCTGTGGTGGATTCAGGCAGACAGTCCCCACACCACCGTGCAAAGCTCTGCAGGCAGCACCGCCGCCACAGCACTGTCCCGGGGATCTGGTCTGCCTGCTGTGTGGCCAGGTAGCTCTGAGGGGGGCAGATCTCCTTGCCAATGTCGATGAACTCCTCCTCAATAAACTGGGGATCGACTGCAAGCTCCCATCGGTGGAGGAACCTTTTGTGCATCTCCATCCAGGTGCGGCTCTGGGTCTGCAGCTTCAGGTTCTTGGCTGTCAGGAAGAGCATTACACCCTGGAACTGAAGCAGTGTAGGTTGTTGGATACGCGTCTGGATTGCCTGCCATAGTGGGGCCAGACCCTCTGGGGGGAGAAAGTGCCGAAAAAGCTGGACGCGAGGTGCACTGCTGCTGTGACTCACACGGCCCTCAACCCATCGCGCGGTGGCATTGAGCCTTATGTGATCGGTGCTGGAGGGGATGTGGCCCAGCAGGGCGGTAGAGTAGCACTCATGGAGGGCAGGAAGAACAATCTGATCGGTCCACAGCCGGTACTCATCCTCGCGGATGATGAAGTGCTGGCGCTCGGGGTCATGTAGTTTGGGAAACAGGGCGTAGAGCTCTAGATCCTCGAACCCACCCAGCCGGCCCAGGGGAAGATGTGGGATCTGGTGGATCGGTCTCTGGCTGCGCCGGGGGCATGAGGCCTCTGACGAGGGCTCCCATGTCACGGGGATTGGAGAGAGATGCAGCCCTGCCTGGAGGGAGGACACAGGGGGCCTAGCTGCCAGCCAGTGAATGCCCGCCCGGGCCACAGCGAGGCTGGAGGCGAATCCCCCCACGCTGTCGATATCCATGGATGGCATCAGTGGCCCGTCGGGGACGTCCTCCGAGGCGATGTCCACGGTGGGTGGTTCTGGAGGGGTGGAGTCATCCCTGACATCCAGCCCACTGAAGATCTTCTGCCTCTGCAGTGGGGGGAGCTGTTCATCCCAGGGCTCCCCAAATTGAGCTATCTGTGGCCGCGACAGGATATCCGGGCAGGCCCACTGGATGATCTCACTCAGGCGCACAGAGTGGATGGGCCGGGATGGTGTCGCCTTGGAGGGGAAGGGGGTCCCAGGCGGGGATGGATGGTCAACAGGCCGCATGTCGAAGGGATACTCCCAGTGGCTGTCCCCCAGACAGCCATGGTGCTGCTGCAGCTGCTCGGCAAGCCCTTGGGCAAGAATGGACACTGGAGCCTGGGGTGGTGGTGCCGCCGCAGAGGGTGGTGATGAGAGGGGTGATAAGGCCTCAGCAGTTGGTGAGAGAGGAGCTGTGCTTGATCTCCTGTGCTCTACATGATGGATGGCCTCTGGGGTCATCCTGTAGCTGGATTGGCTTCTATCTTCCACATCATCAAATGAATCCACATCTGCAGATGGACCATCCATATCGAACCACCTGTTATCATCTGCAAGGGCGTAATGGCTCACCGTGGATGCTGGTGTGGGAGACTGAGGGGGCGGGTGGAGGCCACCAGGTGATGAGGGTGAGAAAGATGAAGAGTTTCCAGGTTCATTGTTCCCAGGTTCATTCTGCATGGGGAGAGCCTGCTTTTGAACCACAGAGACATCGGTCCTCTGCTGGAGCAATGGTGGGGACACATCCAAAGGCTGTTCCCAAGGATTCTGGTCAACTGGGATAGAATGGTAGCTTGATCAGCTCTCCACATGTTTGGTGCTGGCAGGGAAGAGTCTTACTGAACTGATGATAATATCGCTGCAGGATCTGACCTTCCTGGAGATCCCGTTTGAGCTGATACTGAGTGCGTCTGCGCTTACGTCGAGCCTCCTGCTGAGCCCCCTGGTTGGCATAGATGTGAGGACGACCACGACATAATGACATGATGAAATTCCGTTGGAACTAACAGAGGCAGATGGTGGATGGATTTTAGATTGTTGCATGCTGGCAGTTCCTCATATATTTCTATTGTGTCTATTGTAAAATGGTAAGCTGAATGGCGAACGGCAGGTGCTCCGTGGCTGGATATATCATTCTTTTTTTATGAATCAAGAGAGGTTCAACCAATCAGAGGCTCTATCATCCTATTAGGCCGGTCTGGTCTTTGCTTTGAGAGCAAATCATAGCTGTTGCCAAGCCATCAAGGTTGACTGTTAGTGAAGTTTCTTTCAACTCCAACCCTATATTGGGTTGATCGTCAGGGGTTCAAGTGATGAAGGATAAATAAGATTGAGATTGAAATAACATGATATTGACCAGTGGCTGTCTGGTGACCGCTGGCCGGTGGAAAAGCCTTTTCTCCTGGGATAGCTGCTTGCTTTTATCATTCTTTCCATACCACACTGATCAGATCAGCTGAACAAGACTACCTCATCTTCATTAGCATCTTCATTACATTTTAGCATGGTTCGTGGGCATGAAGATGTCCATAAATGGGTGGAGGAGATTCCAGACTCTCAGCCAAGATCAAGACGATCCAACCACCCCCATCGGGAGAGAGCCACGGTCCCAGCACCTCAGAAACAATCCTCCCATACACGAAGACAGTTATGGAAGACAGATCAGATTGGAAAGGGTTTGGTCACATCCACTGTCCACTCTGCTGATCAGAGGACAGCATTGAGAAGATCCAATCATCCATCAAGTATTATATCACCAACAAGGCCGGGTCGTTTGCATCGGTTGCCGGTGGGAAGAAGGCTCCACAGTGGAGGAAGAGATGATGAGAGGTCGGATTCCAGTCATGAACTGCCAAGACCTACCGGGATCCCTATATCGAGACAGGTGAAGCATTCGCGTCAACATCTCAGTCGGAAGCGTCGGGATAGAAGCCCAGTGTATCTAGAAGTAGAACACAGTGAGCATTCATCTGAACAGACAGCATCACACAGGCAGACTCAACCTATGGCTCTAAGTTATCAAAATAAACACCCTGGATCGATGAGGCTATCTGAATGTCAAAGCCAGCATGTAGAAATGCAACACCATGCTGGATCACGGAAGCGAGAGCGACCCTTGAACTCCTTGATTGAAGATGACTCTTCAAAGATCAAAAGATCATGGAGGCATCATGGCCGGGCTCCTCCAGAGTCAGTCAGAGTCAATAGGGATACTCCCCAGTGGACTAGACAGGGCCATAGGCAGGGCCATAGGCAGGGCCATAGGCAGGGCCATAGACAGCAGACGGCATTCTCCAATCCCACTGGATCTTTAAATGATGAGGATGGTTCTTCTTCATTATTATTCCAGCCCTACTCCGAGTCATTCTATAGTGAAGATGACCACGCCCCAGAACAGCCATTACCCCTCAAGGATAAAGATCACCATATCTCTATGCAGTCAGCATCATCATCATCATCATCAGAACCCTCACATTCATTGGATTTGCCGTCTCATCAGCAGAGTGTTGACCCGCTCTTATCCTCAGAGCAGCTGCACTCATCACCAGCACCTCCACCATCTCTTCCCCCCAGGGCAACCCAGCTGCGGAGGCCAGCCACCACTCGCCGTGATGGTAGCCCACTGCCGCCCCGACGCATGTGGTCTGAGGAGGAGGAGAGACGTCTTCTCCAGCTATTTGTCGAGTATGGGCCAAAATGGAGGATCCTGCAGCTGATGGATAAGGAACATTCAGATGGTGCAGTTCTACAGGACCGTAGTAATGTTGATCTGAAGGACAAGATCCGAAACATGAAGGTGCGCTATGAAAAGTATGTATGATAAACTGCTTCTCTTCTCTACTTTCCTTCTCACTTAATATGATGCTAATGGTATACTTTCAGAGCAAATAAGATCCTGCCACCAAATTTCGAAAAGATCCATCTAGGTCCCAAGGAGAAGAGGGTAGTGGAGACATACACAGCCATTATAAAGCAACTAAAACGCTGAACCTGTTGCACTTTCGGTTGGAGAATTAATTCTCTTGGCCTCCATGGTGATGATACTGTTCTGTACTTCATTTTATTTAATACTCTGTGATAGAAAATCTGACCCGATTATTACTATTTCATTCTATAGTATTATACCTTGTGCGATTCGATCTATCAACAACTTGATGATAAGCTCTCCTCACCCTCTACCTAGTTGTTCTTAATCTTTGAGGTATCTAGATTAGCACTATGCAGTGTAGAATATAACAGTGTGAGGCCCAAATCCTCATATAGCTACACGTGTTGGAGCCTATATAGTAAGGCATGCAGAGAGGTTCAAGATTAAGGGGGTCTCTGGAACCGATTGTAGGTGGATACTACGGCTACCCTAGATCACGTGCTCCCCAATCTTATTTAGTTGTTGCTCGGCTAGTTAGTTTTAATACAAAACAACGTTCATTCTATGACCCACTGGTACGAAGATACAGGGCTAACTCAGCACCCAGAACCACGCAGTGTATATAACCTCGCTGGACCCCATATCTTCACAGGGCCAGTGAATAGTCTTATATCAATCTCACTCCTATGTTCAACAGCTTCATATATATATATCGTTATGCCCTCACATCGTTCCATCACCTCTGTCATGCCACGGCCCATGCGCCGGCATGCCCCGGGGATTTAACTATATATATAGGTGTGGGCGCCTATGATGCCGGTCGGTATCATAGTGTTTGGTTTTTTGGCCGAGGTGGTTAGGGGGATATATAGAGGATATATACTAAGGCCGCCAGATATATCCAACGTATCCAAAGGGGGCAAGGTTTCCAACACGGCATAATCCACGATCGGGATAAATATATATATTTAGAGCACCGTTGGGGATCTCCTGCGATAGAGGTAGATAGAACTTAGAATTAATCTTGCTTATAACTGCTTCCAAAGCTACTTGACCAATAGCCATCTTATTAATTAAGCTTAAGGTACTGTAGCCTTTGGAGAAGTTAAAAGAGATAAGGAGATAAAAGATGTTAGAAACCTAGCTACCCTAATAATAACCCTAGAAATAACCCTAATAACCCTAGCAATAACCCTAATAACCCTAGCATTAACCCTAGCAACAACCCTAGCAATAACCCTAGAGAATTGCATCCTTGATTGACAACGTAATTTCTATTCCACTGACCTGCAACTTAAATAGCATTGAATATGTTTGGTAGAGAGCCAGCATGCATGATTTCATCCACATCTAACCACTCCTTGCGCTGACCGGGACTTTGGGACGATAATACTGTAACGGGTTAGCGCTGCTGTAGAAAATATACGCTAACCTAATACGGTATTATCGTCCCATAGAACCCTCCATTATTTAAACCACAATATCTCCACCACTACATGGGCTATGGGAATATGGAATATATCAGTTTAATGCCCAGAGGCTGCTCTATCATCTCATACTAAAATATGTAGATGTTTCTATATCTGTGGTGTTGGTCTTAGCCTGTCAATGTGGTACTAGACGGTTCCGTTTCCGGTTCCATTTCCGTTTCCGTTTCCGTGACGTATTTCCCGTGACACTGACCTCTATATCCAACGCGATATTCAACGGGTGTGCCCCAACCGGTATATACCATCCTCTCCATCATATTCTGTTTAACCCTAACCCTGAAAACCTGGGGTTTCCGTTTCCGTTTCCACTGCCGTTTCCGTTTCCGTGACGTATTTCCCTTGACGCAAACCCCTAATCCAACGCGATATTCAATGGGCGTGCCCCAACCGGTATATACGATCCTCTCCATCATATTCTGTTTAACCCCAACCCTAAAACCCTGGGGATTCCGTTTCCGTTTCCGCTTCCGTTTCCGCTTCCACTTCCGTTTCCGTGACGTATTTCCCGTGACGCTGACCCCTATATCCAACGCTATATTCAACGGGCGTGCCCCAACCGGTATATACGATCCTCTCCATCATATTCTGTTTAACCATAACCCTAACCCTGAAAACCCTGGGGATTCCGTTTCCGTTTCCGCTTCCGTTTCCGCTTCCGTGACCGTTTCCGTGACGTATTTCCCGTGACGCTGACCCCTATATCCAACGCGATATTCAACGGGCGTGCCCTAACCGGTATATACGATCCTCTCCATCATATTCTGTTAAACCATAACCCTAAAACCCTGGGGATTCCGTTTCCGTTTCCGCTTCCGTTTCCGCTTCCACTTCCGTTTCCGTGACGTATTTCCCGTGACGCTGACCCCTATATCCAACGCTATATTCAACGGGCGTGCCCCAACCGGTATATACGATCCTCTCCATCATATTCTGTTAAACCATAACCCTAACCCTGAAAACCTGGGGTTTCCGTCTCCGCCTCCGCTTCCGCGACGTATTTCCCGGACGCAAACCCCGATATCCAACGCGATATTCAACGGGCGTGCCCCAACCGGTACACACGATCCCCTCCATCATATTCTGTTTAACCCCAACCCTAAAACCCTGGGGATTCCGTTTCCGTTTCCGCTTCCGTTTCCGCTTCCACTTCCGTTTCCGTGACGTATTTCCCGGACGCTGACCCCTATATCCAACGCGATATTCAACGGGCGTTTTTGAACCTGATCTAGCTATATTATATCTCTTTACCCTCTTTCTTTTTGCTCCTTTTCCTCTTGCTTCATCGATCTTTATATATGCATATATCTTTTATCTCTATGTGGTGCTCGTCAACATCTGCCTCTCACCTGTGATGTCATTTGACCTCTATGCCCCTGACTCGATCTTCCCCCCCCTCTACCTTCTGATATAATCCTCCAGCGTATTCGACTTCCAACGGGTTGATGGGTTCATCCAACGGGTTCGGGTCCAATGGGTAAATGGGCTCCTTGGACGGGTTTGACGTCCAACGGGTTGGGTCCAGCGTGTTCGACTTCCTCATCCAACGGGTTCGACGTCCAACGGGTTTGGGTCCAGCGTGTTCAACTCCCAACGGGTTAATGCGCTCCTGGACGGGTTTGACGTCCAACGGGTTTGACGTCCAACGGGTTGGGTCCAGCGTGTTCAACTCCAAACGGGTTAATGGGCTCATCCAACGGGTTCGGGTCCAATGGGTTAATGGGCTTCTTGGACGGGTTTGACGTCCAACGGGTTGGGTCCAATGGGTTAATGCGCTCCTTGGATGGGTTCGACGTCCAACGGGGTTTGGGTGTCCAGCCGTGTTCGACTTCCCTCGTCCAACCGGTTGCACCTCCAACCGGGTTTGCACTTCACAGGTTTTAAACGTCAAACGGTTTTG